GTAGATCCAGGGGCTGAGGAGGGGATCCCGGGGCTGGGGACCAAGGTGGAGGGCCGGGACCGATTTTGGAACGGAGGATTGGGAGTAGGAGTAGATATGATCTGATCTGTAGGGCTGACAATGAGTTTGGCCGGGCGGGGATCTGGGAGACAGAAGAAGGGGTCCTGAACCAGGGCTGGGGGGCAGCAGGGACAGGGTGGGGTGGCAGGGGTCAGCAGGGCTGGGGATGGGTGGCTTTGGATGACCGTCTCTCTCTCTGGCAGAGCGTCTGAATGCCCAAATCGTGTCTGCCCAGAGCTGCACGGGCCTGCTCACAGCCCAGGAGGCTCAGCGCATCCAGCAGCTGCACCAGGAGAACCAGGAGTTCCTGCGCATCCCGCGGAGGCGAGTCCTGCAGGGCTGGGCCTGGATGCCCCTTGGCTGAGTGGGCTCAGCCCCTTGGTGGCTCAAGCCTGAGGACAGCCCTCTGCTTTGTCAGTACCCTATTCTTGGGGAAGCCACTAAGTAGCCTGCATGAGCCTACATGTAACCACATGTAACCACAGCACAGGTGCCAGCCTGCCATGTGAGTGCTCCCAGTGCCAGCCCTTCTGGCCTGACTGTGGAGGTTTCCTGCTCAAAGTTTGGCACTCCTGGAGCTGGTGCATCTAGGCTGCCTGGTAAGCCTTTCCAGAGCTCTGTGCATGGCAAACAGGGAGATTATTCCCCTGTCTTTAAGACCCTACAAATCTTAGTTTGAGAAAAGAGCTTTGTGTGATCTCAGCTAATAGAGTTTGTAAGGAACAAGGAAAGAAGGTGTACTTAAAGCTGCTGAAAACAGGTGCGCTCGTGTCTGAGCTATAACCGTCCTGGCACAGCTGAATGTATGGTGTTTGTGCTCTTTATGTTTACTGCAGTAATGTATCTGGTCTGAGTGCTGTTTCTGACCACTCACTCCAAAATATGCTTGTTACAGGCCACGCTGGGATAGGACAACCAGCGCAGAGGACTTGAAGCAAGCGGAGAGGGAAAGCTTTCTTGAGTGGAGGCGACAGCTTGCCCAGTGAGTGTGCTGCTTGTGTCTGGATAAGTACCTGGTGGCATTTAGAGACACAAGAAGCAGTGGGTTGTATTTATCCTTGCTAGACCAATAAATTTAACATCTCCCTGTACTTGTCCTGGAAGGCTGGACGTCTCAGCCACAGTCTTTGTGGTGAGCTCTGCAAAGGTGTCTTGTGTGTGTGTGTTCTTTTAAAATTTTTCAGGATGGCATGTGATGTTCTGCATTTGCTTGTGAAGTAGAGGAGCACTGGATGTGTTTTCTAAGAGCAGCAGTGCTGCTCTGAATAGCAGGCAGTACTGCCAGCCTGTGTACAGCAGCTTGTGCTGGTCTGGTGCTACATCCGCTGGCTTGGAGAGTTGTGTGATATCTGCTCATGCCCTGCAAACCCACGCTTGCCCTGAGTAAAGTTGTTCAGGTGGTGGTAACAGCAAGTTAGAGGTTGTATAGAGCCATTTCAGGTACCATCCCCAAATTCGTTACCTTTTCCAAGTGGTACTCAATTGAGTAGTAACAGCTGGCACTTGGGATAACTTCTCTCATTTATTATTGTGTCTCTGAAATTTCAGAGGCAGACTTTTGATTAGTTTTTGTTCTTTCTATCCTTTACCACTTCTCCATTGGCATGATCAGGACCGTTGTGTCACTGCTGAAGCAGTGCTACTGACAGCAGTTCACCTGGTGCTTGATCTGTTTGCAAAACCAGCAGAAATAGAACCTATATATGAGTCTGGTTTGAGATCTCTCTCTAAAACTAAAGCCTCCTAGATCTAAGGAAAAACTGGTAGTGTGCTTACTGCCTGACATGGACCAAATGTGACATCTTTTTTTTGTTTGTTTTGCCTTAGCCTTGAGGAAGAGAAAAAGTTAATTCTAACCCCATTTGAACGAAACTTGGAATTTTGGCGTCAGCTTTGGAGAGTCATTGAAAGAAGGTAAAGTATTTTGCTATTGACTTTTAAAAAAGTAGTGTTTAATGAACTGAAGCTTTTGAGTCAGGCTTCAAGTGTCTGAGCACAGGAAAAACAAGTTAGTAATGTTTTGTTATCAGCACTTGAAGTGATTTTGTTTCAAAGTGATCAAAATGTGATGTGAAGAATGGCAGCTGCTTAGTGGTGCCTGCTAGTTTTCAGCACTGTCATCTGCAGTGGTATGCTCTAAGTCTCTGAAGATTCTTCAGATGCTGCTGCTCTTCCAGTAGCTCATTATGGGAGGTCTCTTTTGAGAATGTGTCTTTGTCTCTTACTGAGATTAACCCCTTATCCTCTTTCCCAGCCACACAGCTGCAGCTGTTCAGGGGCAGGAGGCAAGGGAGATGAACTAAATGTTGGGAAAGAAGGAATCTCTTGGTCCTTGGCCCTTAGCTACGCAGAGAAGTTGCAGCAGTGCACAAAAGACAACAGGCTGTCCTATCACAGGAGTAGCTTTGTTTGCTCTGCTGAGCTGTAATACAATAGGAGTGCTATCTGCTACCTTAATCTAACTGGGGCATTTAATTTCACTAGTAATTAAGTTTGAGATCATCTCATCTGATTTTCCTAAAATTGAAAAATACTTCACCAGTGAGGTCATGATGAGCTGGTCCTTTCACAGAGGGGGCTTTGTACTGGGTGCTGCTGGGCCTTTGGCTGGGAGAGTGCTGGCTGGGAGCATCCACTGTAGGGGATCATGACAGGCAGTGTGAGTGTACTGGGTATTTAGAGGTGGCTGGAATGTGTTATTAATGCCTTTCTGCTCTTGTTGAAGCTTTTTATTTCGTGTAGAGTGAGGATGCTGTCTTGGAAAGGAATGGAAAAATCATTCAGTCCCTTACCTTGCCAGATAATTTGATCTGTTGTCAGCCTTTTCATGTGTTTGCTTCAAAATAGTTCCTAGCAGTGTGATTCAGTAACTTCTCTGTATCCCATCCCAGTACCATGGTGTCACCTTTCTCTCATATTGATCTCTGAATTTCTGTAACTGTGCAGTAGCTCTTTGTACCCTTGTGGCTTATTAAATTACTCCCTTGGGGGGGTTATTGATTTATTTTTTATATGTAACCAACTGCCTAGTGAGGCTTGAAATTCTTCCACTCAACCCTTCATGTTCTGAAGGTGTCCTGAGTTAACAAAAATCCCTGTCAAACAAATAGAATCAGCATGGGGCAATCAGTGTTTTAAACTACTTGCCTGCAGAACTCTAGTGGTAGAGGCTGTAGTTAAATTTTCCCTGTCCTTTTGAGAAAAGAAGCATGAATGCCTGTGGAATCTGAAGCCATTGCATATAACTGATTTGTAGAACTGTCGAGTCTTGCTCAAATATGTGGTGGCAACTTGGTGTCTGGTTTTGAAGCTGTTTGCTAAAAGCAGGTTGTAAGGCCGTCCTTGCATGGGGGAGCAACATGTCTTGTTGGAGTCTAGGGCTATTTTTTCACTGTTTTATGTTTTTTATGACAAGAAGTGCACAAGGAAATTTTTAAAATGCCTGATATCAAACACTTAAAATCTGCAGGTTGTTTGTGGGAGACTTTATAAATCCTGTTCCATGCAAAGGGGACAACCACGTTCTAGAATATCTCGCTGTGTAGGAAAACTACCTCTTCTTTCTTTCTGTAACTACCCTGCCACAGCTGGGAATGAGGACAGACAGAAATAAAGTTGTGTTATCACAGTTTTTAGTACCATTCTCAAGCACAGAATGCCACTGCTCTGGTTCTTGCTTGCTGAGTGTTTCTGGAGGGTAAATGGATTGGCAAAACTGGCGTGTTTCCTTCCCACTTGCCAGCTGTACAGGGGAATGAGCTAAGTGAGGAGAAAATACTGTACAGCAGTACTGGCTTGTAGCACAAGCCTGGCTCAGTTGGGCAGGTGGGCTGTTGAGATGCTTTGTTATTCAGTAAACGTACTTAGTAGGATAATACAGTTAAAACTATTAAAATTCCAAGCAAAACCTAAAAGCAAATAATTGCTGTGCCTTGCTGCTTCCTTTAAGGCAAAGTAAGGAGGAGTATTTATGGGGCTTTCTTTCACTTTTGCAGTGACATTGTAGTCCAGATAGTAGATGCTAGAAACCCCCTTCTGTTTAGATGTCAAGATCTGGTAAGTAAATCACTTTTTTGAATGTTATCTTAGTTATATATCATAAGGTTTACGTAATTTATTTTTTGTTTAACACATTCAGCCACCTTGAAACTGTTCTACTGTTGTATCTTAGTGGATATCTTATTAATTTATGCAAGTATTATGGCACAAACTTATTTTTGTTTGATGTCTTTTGATATTTCACACAGGATGTTGTGGATTTAGAGGCAATTCTACAGACATTATATTGCAGATATTATATTACTCCTCATTACCCACTAAAAGTGTCTTCACTTAAAGGAATTGTTCTGTGTAAAAACATAGTGGAATAAACCTGAGTGACAATTACTGCACTGAAAGCAAATAATCAATTATTGAAGTGACAGCTTTGTAATGACAGACTATAGAACACTGCATCAATGAGACATTAAATTGCTCAAATAGTTATCTTGGAGTTCCTGCTGCAGGGTGCTGATTAATATCTTGTCACAGCTCTAAGCAGACAAGGTGTTTGCACACGTGGCCAGCAACAAGCTGTGTTGTTGTAGTTGCATGCTCCAATTTGTCCTTGTAGTTGTCTACTAAACACCAGTTCCACCTAGCCCAGGGGATGGTAAGCTGGGCTACACTTGTGTGGAGCTTGTCTTGCTGCTCTTGTATTACCTTGGGGGGAAGAGGAGTCGAAACCAGAGTATGGACTGATCCTTCTCTTCTTTTTTTTCAGGAAAGTTACGTTAAGGAAGTCAGTAATGACAAGGAGAACATGATCCTGATCAACAAAGCAGATTTGCTGAGTGAGGAGCAGCGGGCTGCTTGGGCACAGTTCTTTGAGAAGGAGGGTGTGAAGGTGGTGTTCTGGTCAGCATTGGCAGAGTGTAAACGGCTGTCTGGAGAAGCAAAGGTACTGTGGGTGAGCAGCTCAAACTACGTGTGTGCTGGCTGCTGCTGGTAACTTGCTTTGCAGCTGTGCTTGCGATAGACCTGAGCACCTTTCTAGGAAGGGCACTGTCCTCACTGTCCTTGTCTCGGGGAAGGATTATTTTAAAGACCTGTGCAGCTATAAAACAGCATTTGAATGATCAATTCAGAGACAAGAGTGAGGAGACTAAAATGATCAAGAAAGTGCAGAACACAGAAACAGCCCTTGTAGACCTGTTTGCAAAATCTTAACCCATGTAAAGAATTGGAAACCTTTCCAAGAGGGGTGCTGTGAGGGATGGGGTTATCTCTACAGAGTTTTTTTCTCTCCCAGAGAGGGGAGGTGTTTCTTAGAGAGCCTATAGTACTTGAAAGCCCTTTTTTTGCCCAGTGGAACAAACTGAGTTACTGCCACAAGTTACATGTTATCAGTAGGTGCTACTTTCGTCTGTTACAGCCATTCAGCTATGGAATATCTCATATCTCCTTGTAAAAATACCTACTGTGTTCAGCTGGTTTACAGTCCTTGCATAAAATGTTTTTACAGACTGATTTAAAAGTAAGACTGAAAATGGTAGTTTTATTCTCTTTTTTGGGAAAGAAAGGTCAAAAAGCCATGAACAGTCCCTCTTGGAATACTTTTGTCATTCTCCTGAAATGAGCTAGTTGTGTCTACATCATACTTAAGACCCCTATAAAACCTGTGTGATGTAAGCAGTGAATTGTCAGCCCTTGGGATGTGGCTGATGAAAATACAGTCGCTCGCACTGCAGCAACTGCAGTCAGGAACAAGGCCTAGTGCTGTCCTTGCATTTCACCTCTGAAATGCTGTTCACACAGGAACAGGACGCTGAAGGTGTAGCAGAGCACTCGAGTGATTCTGAGGATGAAAGCTCCAGTCAAGAAGAAGACAACACAGCACAAGGTAGCGCAGAAAGCACATCCACAGACAATGCTTTGCAAACTGTAAACCAAGTTCTGCTTAGTGATGATGACAGCAGTGATGAATATGAAGACTGTGAAGAAGATGAAGAGGAGGCCTGGCAAACCTGTTCTGAAGATGAAGATGGGGACAACATAAATGCTATTGCTCCAGAGAGGATGGGAAACAGGACTGATGGTGCTGCAGTGCGGCATGTAGTGCAAGAGCAGAACAGGAATGTCAGGAACTTCAGCCATCTAGTACAGAGAAATGAGCTGCTGGAGATATTCAAAACCGTGCACGATGGACCAAGGGTGAAGGATGGGGAAGTAAATGTTGGGCTGGTGAGTTGGACTTTGTGCTTTAATGGAACTTGTTTAATCTAAATTTTAATTCCATATGCCTCTACAGCTAAAATTTGTCCTGTAGCCTGGCTTCCTATAAGGCTTTAAAAACTAGCAAGCACAAACCACTGCAGCTCAGTGTTCTTCGCTGCTTGCCCTGGTTTTTTAATAGACTTTATTGGAGTACTTTTGTGTAAGAGCTCTGTCAGTCTTCTGGCATCACCCTGCCTGATACCACTGTTACCATTCCACTTCTTTGTCATCCAGGTGGGTTACCCTAATGTTGGCAAAAGTTCAACCATCAACACAATCCTTGGAAACAAGAAGGTGTCAGTGTCTGCTACACCAGGCCGTACAAAACACTTTCAGGTATTGCTGACAAACAGCATTGATCTTCTTTGTTATTTCTTTTTCCCCAGTGGAAGGGAGCTTCATTTTGAGCTAGTTGCAAGCACATGCAGTCACTGAGAACTCTGCCAACCTGAACTCTGGCCAGCAGAGTATGTTGGAGAGGGATGGTCTTGATGTATAGAATTTTGGAACTTTAGTTCTTGCTTTCAAACTCTTGCTACAGTGTGAGTCACTTATGAGAGCTGCTGTGCAATGGGAGATGTTTTAAAGTGAGTGTTTCTCTGAATAGCTCAAGGTCAAGGTTTCAAACCACCCTTCTTGTTCACATCATTGCTGTGAATGAGTCTAGTTTTGCTGCTGTTTTTATATTGATCAAGCTTTAATTTGGAGGTAGCAACTCCAGTGCTATAATGTGGGACCATTGTGGGATTTGCACTTGCTCAATCTCCTACCTGTTTCAAAACACAATTAAATGTTTCTGGAGTGCTTTCTTCTCTCCAATCAGACTGGAGAGCTGAGGGTCCTGTCTGGACACCTTATTTAGGAATTTTGGAAGTTCTGTGGTCTTTCACATCCAATTTCCTTAATTCATCACCTGGGGCCAGCAGGGCAGATGTCTGTGTTAGTAGAATTTCTGCATCCATGTTTCATCTATGCATTTATTTTTTTTGTTCCTGTTTCCTCCCTGGCCACTGACTTGCCATTGTGAACTAACTGGTTATTTTCATGTAGACCCTGTATGTGGAGCCTGGCCTGTGCCTTTGTGATTGCCCTGGTCTGGTGATGCCATCTTTCGTCTCTACCAAGGCAGAAATGATTTGTTCTGGAATTCTGCCTATAGACCAGATGAGGGACCATGTCCCACCTATTTCTCTAATATCCTTTGCATGGGGTTCGTGGGAGTGTCTGTAAGGGTTGGATCTGGAGGATGTCAAGTAGCGTGTTCCAGCCCTGCTAGCAGCACACGTGCTCATGCCTTGAGGGCAGTGGGACACACTGGATAAAACAGCCCTGCTGTGTTGGTCTTTTCCCACCTCATTTCAACTTTGTCTTGTTGTCAGGCTTGTTTAATTTTTCTGGTTTGCAACAAAATCCGGAAGTCATTCTTTTCATGTGTGCTCTTGGAGTGATGAAGGGGCAAGGTTACTTGTGTAGCTGAAAATCACCAGGTGGTTTCCTTCACTAGCTCACGTTTGCCAGCATATCCCACGAAACATTTTGGAAGCAACCTATGGAATAAGTATTATAAGGCCAAGGGAAGATGAGGATCCAGATCGAAAGCCAACAGCTGAAGAGCTGCTAACAGCATATGGATGTGAGTGATGACCCTCATAAAACCTGTCACCTACACTCTGTGCATGGTCCTGAACATGTTTTAAAGTTAGGCCCACCTTGGGTTTGTTGTGCATTGCGTTAGGACTTGCCCTCTTCTCAGCAGGGCCTTTGTTAATGGCTCATCTCCTGTGTGTGTTTGGCCAGTCTCATCTGACAGGTGTCGATGGTGTGGAGGACACTGGTGAGATACCCTGCCAGTCTATAGTGTGGTGCTCTTTCAAATACCTCACATCAACTGTGTCTTGAATTAGATTCTGAAGAATGCAGCAAATTCTGATTCTCTGGCCTTAAAACAAAAATAAAAACCCAGCAGTTTTTCTGCTGGTAGGGAGAAATCATCATTCCTTTCAGGTCAGGATGCTTCTGTGGTACCTCTACAGTCAGCAATATTGTCTTTTTTTCCTTGCTTTCCCCAACAGAAGCCTCTTTCTAAGGGTGTTTTTTTTTTGACAAAGGATACAAATGTGCAGTTAGGCAGTAGATAAGAACATATTCATTCTCTCGTACTTACACAGAATGTACTTTGGATTTGCCTTCCAGATATGAGAGGCTTTATGACAGCTCATGGACAGCCAGACCAGCCGAGATCAGCTCGATACGTGTTAAAAGACTATGTCAATGTAAGTGTTTCCTACATCTGGGTTTTCTTTCCTGCTAGGAAGTGAATTGAAGGTTTCACTAGAGCACAATAAAGTGAATTCTGTTTCTCTGGATAAAGTCACTGTATTTCAAAATACTCTTTAGGTCGGGCTGGTTTTATGTTTTAAAAGAATAAACTGAACTTCTCAAGCTGCTTAATATTAAAAAGATTCTTGCTTAACAATATGGTGCTAGCTAAATAAATAATCATATCTCTAAAATAACCAGCAGATATTCAGGAAACAAACCCATATTCTATAGCTGGACCAATATTTGGCACTAAGGACTGTAACTCTCAGTGTTGTAATACTGCATTTTTCTGCAGCACTCTTGGCAACTTATTGTTGAGAATTTCTTAATAGGATCCTCCAGTGCTCCTGAGAGTTTTGCAGTGTATTGTTTGCAGCTGGAAATGGTGCTTTGATATAGAGGTGGAACAGTACTTTAACTTAGAAGTTGAGCCAGTTGTTGCTTAGGAGGAGAAATAAAGTGTACTTACAGTTTGCCTGTGTGAGCCCCTGGACTTCGAGCCCTTCTTAGGTTTGGGGTTGTTTTCTTTCCTCTGTGTGTTTTCTCTCTGAGTTTCTTTGGTCATAACTGTGTCCATTGCTTTCACAGGGGAAGCTGTTATATTGCCACCCACCTCCTGGTATTGACCCAAATGATTTTCAGCACCAGCATCAAAGATGCCTGGAGAGCAGAACTGTGCAGGCCCCTGGACAGGTGAAGCCTGAGAAGAATACCAAAGCAAAGCAGATTGAAAATGTGGTGGACAAAACATTCTTCCACCAGGTAAATTCTGGAGGAAATTTGTTCCATGAGTTTTTGCTACAGCGCTTATTAGTAATTACTGAGGAAAAAAAGCCACCTTTGAGGATGGAGGTGTGCTGGGTTGAGTTAATGGTGCTAGATGCTGTGGGATCTACATATAATTTCTATCTAAGAACTCTCTGTTCTTTTTATTATCTCCTAAATCACTGTGAATGTCCTAGGTGACTGGCAGATTGCTAATGAGCTATGCATAGCTGATTTTTAAGAGGTCAGTAGGGTGACCCTTGTCATTATGGACCTAACATCAATCTTGAGCAAACAGGGGGGTGACTGTGAAGACAGACAGGGAGGGTGGAGTGACACAGTAACTGACCTGGAACGTGGTTTTGGACTAACAGGTCCTTCAAACTAACGTTCCTTTCTTGAGCTGACATTTTTAGGGGATGTGATAAGCTTCTTTAAGACAATTGATTTAGTACTACCTGAAATCAGGTGAAAAGAATATAAACTGATTTAAAATCCAATGGAGAAATCTCAAAAATAAGTAGAAAATGGGAATTTTTCTTAACTTGTATGATTCTTGTGAGTCCCACAGGGATCTGTTTTGCCCCTACACAACTGAAAAAATGTATTAGTGACTTGTAGTGAAATGTGAAATCCATAAGCAATTAGGTCTGCATACCTGACAAAGATCAGAACAGGTGTTTAGCAGTGAAGAGGGTGTGTCAGACAGCATGTTTCATTCTCTGTGGTTAGCTGGATATGAACAGTATTTGTTTAGCACAGCTAAAGATAATAATGCATTTTGAAAACAACAACTCAAGCTCTTTTCAAAATGACGTAGAAAACTGTGACCTGAAAAGAATTTTTGGGATTACCAGACTCTTCCTCTGTCTGCCCAAAGTGCTGGCACAAGCTGTGAGCCCCATCAGTGCTCCAGACTTGAGCAAATTATTTTAGTCTGTGGCTTTCACAGATGCCAGATTTATTTTGCAAAGACAATTTGTTGTGTGCAAAGCAGAGGCTGTGAGAATCCATCCCAGTGCTGTAGCTGATGTCTGTCACAGTGTCTCGTCAGTGCCCTGCCTCTGCTGGGTGGGTGCTGGGGACCCCGTGCAGCTGCAGGCAGAACTGGAGCCTGCTGGCAGGCTTTGGCTGGGATGTGTGGTGTGACCTTCCTGCAGCTCTGGAGCGGGGGCTGAGCAGGTCCTGATGGGTTTGAGCTCGCCTGTGTCTGGTTTTAGTGACATGTTGCAGTTCCTGTGGTTAAATGTCTTCTCATCAGTCACTGGTGATCGTGTCTGCTCTTGCAGGAGAATGTCCGTGCCCTCATGAAAGGGGTCCGGGCTGCAATGGGATACCGGCCTGGCAGCGGCCTCGTGCCTGTGACTGCATCCAATCCTGGGAACGTGGTAGGAAAGCCCTGGAAAAAACATGGAAACAGGAACAAGAAGGAGAAAATCCGCAGGATCACCAAGCACCTGGAGGCTTAGCTGTGGTACCAGTACTGGGCTTTTCCAGGGCAGGGACTGCACTGTCCCACAGGCCTTAATTGAGGAGTAAAATAAAAAGGATAAGTGGGCATCACTAGCTCACCTGGTAGCTCTGTGCTGTGGATTGGCCTGGGCAGGGGTAAGGGTGGGCTCTGGTAGTTGGAGCTCATCCCTACTGGGAACAAAAGAGACCTGGCTGTTTGTGTTATCTGGAAGCCAGCCCAGATGTTTGACTGCTGCTGAAACATCCTTTCAATGGGAGCAGATGGAGCCATGCGGGAGTGTTTTTTCCTTCCATAAAGGATGTATTTTATGGCTGTTGCAATCAAAGCAAGTCCTGTAAATCTGACTAAAATCTTTATAAACAGTTGAACTTCAGTGAGTGATGTTTGTTACATTATGAGACACTATTGCTCATCTCCTTTTTTTTTTTTTCTGTCTTTAAAGCTGGTTTGTTGATTTGACAGAACACTTTAGTGTGTTGAAAAATGAGGTAAAGTGATCTTTATTGCCCTCTTCCTTCTCTGCTGTGCCAGACCTATTCTGTAGAATCTGGTACTGAAACCACTCCCAATTTCCCAGCTTGAGCAGAGCATGGCACACTGTGCAAGGAAAATGCTGCTTTTATGTCCTTCACGCTGAGCTGGTATCAGTTGTTTTCCTGTGTGACTTCCCACTGGTATTTTAAAACATTAGCTCCGTTTGACTGGCTAAAAATCTGGTGCTAATTTGTCCTTAAATATATTTGAGATTTTACTTCCTATATGGTCTCATGTTCTGTCTCATTGACCTAGTCACAGAAGTGTTTAAGAGCAAATTTTAATTGAGTACATGACTATTTGATGCTAAAAGACTTTACTTGAGGTCAGACTTCAGTGAGATTTACTTCTTAGCTGCCCTGCTGAGAAAATGTTTGTGCACTTGGTCAGTTCTCTTCATTCCTAGTGCAGCACAGGGAGTAATGACAGGACTGGAAAGGCTCACAAAGACGAGGCGTGCTTTGTTTTTAGGTGGTGGTGTAACAGATGATTTTGGTCTCTGATACTAAAAAAGAGATTGCTGTCTTTTAATTTGTACTTTCCAGGCCTTAAGTGTGGATGGAGAGATGAAAGCAACTGCTGAGCGAAGCCACAGCAGATGTGGGGTGTGCAACTAAGCTGGTTTTGGCTTTGTGACCCTTTGTGTGTGTGTCCTTTACAGCCAGTTTGCGCTGCGTGTGTGGAGGGTCCCCTGACAGCAGAGCTCTTGGCTCCTGCTTCCCCTGAGTTGAATTCTTAATTACATCACTGCAAGGAAGATAAATCCCTACCTGCAAAATTAAAGCATAATTACACTAAATGAATATGGTCAATGGTATTTAAATCAATGTACTGTAGCGGAAAGTAAATTCTTAGGAGAGACTATTTAATCTGTTTCTCCCGGCGAAGGTGATCCTTGCCTTTGTTTGCTGAAGAGGTTATGCCTTAGCCAAATCCCTCTGATCCAGCTTCTCCACCCTCCTTGTAGGAAAGATACCTGCTTTTGTCCTTTAGGGACCTGATTGCTCAGAAACACCCATTTCTTTTTGTCCTGTCCTGTGTCCTGAAACTACTGCCTGTCAAATTACCTGCCAAACTTAAGTTGGAGTATCCTTTATTGAAGTTTTGAAATACTATTTTTTCCTATTTTGTCTTTCTCTTTTCAAAGCACTTTGAATTCTTAGCTCATGTTGCACGTACCTGAGTTTTCTTTTGCGTTCTCTGCCTTTTCCTGTCAGCTGGGTCTCCATGAGCCTTCTTGCTGGACAAGCTGTGTCCTGGTGTAGACCTTTGCCAATCCAGTGAGTAACAGAAATCCCCAGGGCCTGAGACTTGAGACAACTGCTTGTTGCTTCCAGGAACCTTTGGCCATAGGACCTGTCAAGTGACTTGCAGTGTTTGCATGAGTAAACAGGATAATGTAAGTATGACCAAGCAAATACTGTTTACTGAGGTTTGTTAAATGCAAACCGCTCCTTGCTGTGCTCTTGCCTTGATAGAAAAGGACCCAAAGACTGCTAATATTTTATGCTGTTACTGAGCAGTGGGCAAACTATAAAATAGGCAAGGACCATGGTTAAATTAATGCTTTCCTGTGGTGGTCTGGTCTGTTGCTGTTGCTGAACTGCATCCCTGGCCTGGCTGACAGCTCAGGACAGCAGTTGGCAGGCGTGAGGCGATGTGGGGACTGCTCAGTTGTCAGGAGCCAGCACAAAGGAGACGCTGTGCTCTGCCCTCACCACCTGTGAATGAGCCTCTGCTACTCCACTGCTTTCCACAGAAGGCCAGTTTCCATTTTAGAGTGCTGTTTTCTTCAAGTGCCTTGTGCATGTAGATGGAGTGTGCAGGTTCCAACTGGCTTCAGTCTGTTCTTTAGGATCCACGGCACTTCCAGTACCCCAGCAATCTGCCTCCCCTTTTTAGGGGGCTTTGCTTTGTAATGAAAGCAATTTGTTTTCCTGGCTGATGTTGTTACCTGCTGCACTGATAAATGCAGCAGAAATGCAGAACTGTTTTGGGAACATGGTTTGAAGCTGAACTGCCCTTTTACGGTATCTTCCACTTGCATTGTGAACTGCAGTTCTCCCTGCAGGTGCCATTCTCCTCCAATTTAGGGAGCTTCACACCAGCCCACAGTCTGCTCCCAAAGAACGTGATGCTTTCTGTCCCGGGAGAGCTGCTGGGTGCTGTGCCATGGGTGGAGGGTGGTGCTGGGTGCCACGCCTGCAGGGCAGCACTGGCAGCCTGTGGTGGAACCATCAGTGCTGCCCTGGAGGTCCAGAAGGCTGGGGCTGCCCTTTGCACACGGGACTTGCCATTGCATGTCCAAGCTGCTGCCTAGGCCATCCATCTACTGAAAAACTTGCTTTGCAGAGTCTGTTTTGAGGAAAAGCAATATTTTTTACTCTGTTGAAGCATCATAGGTGAGCAAGTGAGGGGAGGGGGATGCCAGGATGTAAGTCACTGAGCCACTCTGCTGTGGGTGCTGCTAACTGCAGTTGATGGCAGGTGATGTAGGAGCCTCGATCCCCCCAGCTTGGCAGAGTCAGCACTACACAAACAGTGTAGTGGACAAAAAGTCCTCTGCCCATCACCCCACTGCAGACCACACTATGGGGCTATCAGAGTCAGCTGACCAATCTTTTCCCAGCGTCTCTGCTCAAGGATGATGCTTTTGCACAGGGAGGTCCCCAGCAAGGGACTGCCACGTGAACATCTCGCCAGCTTTCTGCAACTGCCGCCTGGACCAAAAATACTTCATTATGTCTCTGGAGGAGGCTGAACTCCTTCTCTCCTGCCATTAGGGGCCGACCTTTCCCAGGCAGAGGAGCAGTCCTGGCGCCCCCAGCAGCAGTGCTGGGTCCTGTTCCTGTTCGGGATCCCAGCAGAGGTGCAGGTCTCCAGGGACTCCCCACCCCATGCTCACCCCTGTGGAGAAGCACACAAGCTGCTGTTCCCAGTCAGCCTGGCAAGGAGGTGGCCAAAAAGCCCACAGTGGGGAGCATGGCTCTGGTCCTGGCAAGACAGGAGCTGGGTCTAGGGCCTTTCAGGCTGTTTCTACAAAACTTAAGCAGCTCTTTCCTGATTGTCCTGAGACACTGTTGCTTTAAAGTAAGAAGCAGCCTTTTCTCTTTCTTCTTGGGTCACAGATCTTTCCCTCCTGTGAGGAGCTTCAGGGTGTTGCCAGGCCCCAGCAGGTTCCTCTACCCTACAAGTCTGTGAGGAGCAGCACTGTGCTGTCCACCTTCCCTATATGGTGACTCTAGTCCAGCTTTTTTACTGAGTATTTTCTTTTTTACTGCAAAAGGAAAAAAATATTGGGGAAAAAAGGTCACGGGGCTGCTGAAAGAGAGGCAGGGAACAGCTCCCCAGTGTACCTCAGAGTATAATCTCTCAGGGTTAAATGCTTGAGGTACCCAAGACATCCTGGGACATGAAGAGAGGTCATGGTGAGGACAAGAGGAAAAGAAACCACAATTGAGTCAGAGGAACCCTGCCCCAGTGTTCTTTCGTGACGGGGCTGTGGGAAAAGGATCTGTCCCGTGGGTGGTGTCAGGGCACGAGGACTGCGCGTGCTGGGTGGAGCAGGCTTGGGTTTGCCCTCCTGGAAATGTCCTCAGCCCCTTGTCACTTGGGAGTTACAGCAGTTGAGGCAAAGAAGCAAAAACATTGTCATGCCCATGAGGGGAAGGTCTTGCAGTCCAGCCAGGCTTTTGCTGCCTGCACAGAGCAAAGGGAAGCTGGAAGCCTCTGCAGAGCCCCTTAATGTTGGCCAGTGCTGGTGAACCAGCGCAAGCTCCTCTGGGACTTCACAGGGTTGTCAGCAAGAGTTGTGTCTGCTTGGCGGCTCTTGGAACCAGCTGTGCTCATGGCAGTGCACGGGGATGCTGGAACCATTGCTCTGTGGGTCCCAGGGGAAAGGGAGTCTCCTCTTGACACGCTCAGTATCTTCCTTGGACATGCCCTGTATGGTCCTGACCCCTCTCCTCACATGGGCTGGGAGGGAAGTGTGTGACAGAAATGGAAACCAATGCTATTCTGCTTTGAGCTTTGCTTGTGTTGTGATGCACAAAGGGAGAACCAAATATTCTCTAGTTTCAAATACAGCCAGTTCCTCTTTCTGGGGAAAAAGGCAACGCAGGTCCTGTGCTGCCTAGGGAGCTGTGCTGCCTGGTACTCCCTCACACCTGCCTGTGGCACTGCCTGCTCCTTTCTCTTCACAGTGGGACTTAGAAGATGTGACAGTGCAGTGGAGTTGGCCCAACCCTGTTGCTCAGCCTTGCTCATGCTGAGCCCAGGCACCTTTGGACAACCTGCAGCCCTTCCAGGATGTGCTGAGCACCCCAGCCAAACAAGCAGAAAGCAGCAGAAGGTGCTTCCTTGGAGCTCTCTTGGGGGACATGAGAAGCTCTGGGGTGTTGCCACAGGCTGCGATGCTGTGCTGCTGAGGATGGGTGCTGGGGTGGCCAGACCCTGCCTGGTTTGCCTGCAGCAGCAAAAGGAGCCTTTGCAGAGCTCCTGCTGATAAGAAGGGCCTGCACTCATGTTTCCAAAGGCCTGAGTGAGTTGGTGAGTAGTGGCCAGGCTCAGAAATCCAGACGCCAGACAATGGAAAGGCTGGAAACATAAAGGAAAGGAAATTCTTCTGCTGTATTGCCTTTCCTATGGCGATAAGATAACCCGAAGTGAAACAAAAGTCTCTGCTGCAGACAGTGGGGTGGGCACCTCGGCTGCTTTCTAAAGCACAGGAGGATGTCTGCATGAGCCCATGAGCCGGGACCTCCCGAGCTGAACTGGGGGTGTGTGGCTGTCCTGTGGGTGTGCAGCGGGCAGAGGTGTTCTTGGTGCTTTGCAATGAGTCTTGGAGCAACAGGTAGCCTGGCCTGCTCCTGCTCCATCCCATGGGACCATCTGTGTCCTTCATTTACACACTTGCAAGAGAAATTGTGGAACAGTTTGGGTTGCAGGGGACTGTGAAAGACCCCTTGCAATGAGCAGGGGCATCTTCAATGAGATCAGGTTGCTCAGAGCTCTATCCAAGCCAGCCTTGATGTTTCTATAGGTGAGGCAACTACTGCCTCTCTGGGCAACACTGTTCCAGTGTGTCCTCACCCTCATTGTAAAACATTTCTTCCTTATATCTAATCTAAATTGACCCTCCTTCAATTTAAAGCCATTACTCCTTGTCATATCACAACGGGCCTTGATAAAATGTTTGTCCTCATCTTTCTTGTAGGTCCCCTTC